CCCCCCAACAGTGCTAAAGGAACTGAAACGGAAAAATCCCTGCCCCATTTTTTTTTTTTTTTTCCAACAACAACAACTACCCCAGATGACCTTATTTTATATGGGTTGACTGCAGGGTACAGTTGTGTACGGACACTACGGAACGGAAGAAAACTTCCTGCTGCTGCAAAACGAAATGAGAATCAACATGAGTGGGAAGGTTGTTCTCCTCAGAGCAAGTGAAAACACTTTTGCCGAGAAGGTGGGTCTTTGTACGGATGTGTGACGTGAAGATGGAAAAGACGTGCAAGTTATCTCGACCGTCTGCTTATCTTTTTTTTTTTTTTTTGTTGACGGGCAGGCTAATGCTGCCAAATTTGGAGCTTCTGCTGTGTTGATTTATGCAGACCCTTCGGATTATTCTTTTGAAGAGAACACTCAACTCTTTGGACACGTGAGTGAATGTTTTTTTTTTTTTCCCCATAAGAAATAACAGGAAGAAGGAAAAAAAAGAATCAGGTCTGGATTCTTACCTTCGAGACAGACGATACAGTAGCGGCTAATGGCGGCATGTGCCTTACACGTACTCTATGTAACTTAAACATAAACTTAGACTTTCTTAGGACTTATCACTATTATGACGAATAATGCACAAAATAGAGAGAAAATCACGTAGATAACGCTAACGATAATGAAGAAGTGAAGTGGCGCGGGCTGCTCCGAGTGCTCGCACACCTAGCGTTGGTGTCTGTAAGCGTGCTCGTACAGTATCTCAAATCTTTACTTGTGTCTCAAAGCAAAAAAAAATTAGCTCGAAATACTCGTATGTCGAGACGCTTGGATCTTGAGGTTCCGCTGTACTATGTCAGTCTTTGGGGTGTTTTTTTTTTTTTTAAAAACTGCTGGTTGAATTGGTATGAAACATTTGTGTCTTCACAGGTCCACTTAGGCTCAGGAGATCCCTACACTCCCGCCTTTCCCTCCTTCAATCACACCCAGTTCCCACCCATCAAATCTTCAGGCCTGCCGAAAATATTGGCTCAGACCATAACTGCTAAGATGGCAAACAACATTCTGAAGTAACGCTCGAAAAAACACACTGTGAATCTGTATCTGAAACGGCGCCGAAGCAAAACAGACAAACGCTTCAAACAATGCTACGAAGTTTACATACCGCTTTCCTTATCTGTTTTGAACAGGCAGCTGGGGGGTCAGGACACACCATCCAAATGGGTATGCGCTCACAAACTGGGAGATGAGAATGACAACATTACCCTAGAGGTCAATAATGTCTTGGTCGAGAAAAAGATCAACAACGTTTTCGGTTTCCTCGAAGGGCTGGTAGATCCAGGTGCTTTTTTTTTTTTTTTTTTTTTTTTGCTCAACTAGTTATGGTGTGATCAGCATCCTTAAAAAGTAAGAAGTGTTGATTAAAATGATTTTTTTTTTTCTTTCAAAAAAATATTAAAATTGCAGATCGCTTTGTGGTCATCGGTGCCCATAGAGACGCGTGGGGTTATGGTTTTTCTGCCTCAACCGTCGGCACCAGTATTCTCGTAGAACTGGCCCGTTCTATATCGGAAATGGTAAAGCATGGTGAGTTTCTGGTTCGACGATATTTACTTGTAGTGATTTAAGTACTCTACTGAGGAACTGTGACCAGGCAGAAATGTGAAAAACTTTTTATATTTTTACAGATAGAGTCAAGTTAAGGAGAAGCATTTTGTTTGCAAGCTGGAGTGCTGGGGAATATGGAAATGTTGGCGCCACCGAGTGGTTGGAGGTGAGAATGGACGAACTAGGGGAATTTTTTTTTTTTTTTTTTTTTTGTCGATGTATTGTTTTGTAGCTTTATGCAGTAATGATTTTCTTTTCTCCAAAAATAGACTCATCTCGCTACTTTGAACCAAAAAGCTATCGTGTTCATCAACCTGGATGATGTCATTCAAGGTAATTACTAGCATGATTGAAACCAACCTTCACTCAAACCGTTCCCTGTGCGAAGTTTGTTTCAACGGCGTGCGTCAGAATGACGGATGGAGACTTTCTTAAATAAATTTATGGGAGACGGTGACGTAAGCACAGAACACCGTAGGTCCAGGACGCCCTGTATTATTCCATGTATAAAATACAAGATTTAAAGCAGCAGTAAAAATGTGCTTCTTAGTATTATATAGATGCCATAATGGGGATTTTACACATTGTTTTTAAATTTGAGTCTCACTTAAATCCTTCTTCCTTTGCATGCAGTTTTAAACCCGGAGCAGAACAACCCGTCTGTGCTTTACTGTACTTCATGTTTATACTGTTACCAAAGATGTTTGTTTTTCTTGAGAATGCTCGACTGAAAATTGCTAATCCCCCAGGTTACGGTGAATTCAAAGTATCAGCCAGTCCCCTCCTGCACGCCCTGATTCAGAAAACTCTTCAAGAGGTAAAACCTACACCCGTATGCCCAGTTAAAGTCCTGATTCCTCAGAGTACTGTATTTTCCAGACTATAAATTGCACTTATTTTTTTTATCATTATATTATATATTAAAAATAAATACGTTTACATGTTATTTTTGCATTGTCAACCACTAGAGGGCACTTCAGGCATGGTAACCTGTATCTGCTACTGTTTTTGTTTTCTTCATTATGCATTTTTGGCTGGTGCGACTTATAGTCCGGAAAATACGGTATGTGTATTTCAGAATGTTGAATTTTTTTTAATTTTATTTTTTTTCCTCCCCCCACTAGGTGAGTTCCCCCGCAAGCACTGGATCGCTGTATAGCGTGTATGGGAAAGGCAACTGGGAATCCAACATGTAAGTTTACCTAGGCTGTAGCACTGATCTTTACAGGACATTTGTAGTATTTTTACCAGTACATTTTTTTTACATTTTAAATGTTCTCTATATAAACTAGTGTTTTGTTGTTCTTCCTCCAGATTGGAACCTCTGAAAATCAACGATACAGCTTATCCTTTCCTGGCCTTTTCTGGCATCCCCTCGATGTCATTTAGATTCAGAGGTCAACGCAGAGTGAGTCAACATGCCGTAGATTGGCTTAGTATTGAAATATACTCGCATATAAGCCGATTTTAAAACACCCAAAAATTAAAGATCAAATCAGACGGTCGGTGGCATTTTCCATTGATCGCATCGTCACCGATTATAAACACCAAGTCGAATGTACGTTCAAAATATCATTACACTTAATAAATTCCAACTTAATACAATCTACGACAGATATGTAATAATTATTTTAACTGTACCACTGATATACTGTATTGCAAAAAAAAAAAAATCACATCTTCTGAATTTCACAACAAACATTGGCTAAATCTTTGCAATTTTAACGTAAACGGTGTTTGCCAAGATAACATTCCAATTCTTTGTTGTCTTGCAGAAGTAAGACATTTTAACACGGCAAAAAAGTGAAAACAATGTCGCCTTATATGCAAGTCTTTGTAAAAATCACCATAAATATTTATATATATTTATATACATGTTTATATATATTTGTATATATGTTTATATATATTTGTATATATGTGTATATATATATATGTTTATATATATGTATATATTTCAGATCAATTATTTTTTTTACCCTATACCTGATTTCCACAACCTTAAACATCCCTGTATGTTAACTGTTTCAGACGTACTATGCTGGCACAATGCTGGACACACAAGAGAATTTGAGCTTGATCACAGGAAGGCAGCTCCCTGAGCTGACTCAACTGGCTATGCAGTTTGCGGGTACCATCGCCCTGAGACTCGTCCATGACCATCTGCTGCAGATGGATCTGAATAAGTACAACGGCGTCATTCGTGAGCAAGTCCTTGACATAAATACAAAAGTGTCGAATCTCAAGAAGGTGAGCTTAAATAACCGCGCTTCTTACGAAGTTGTGCAACATCCACCCTGCTATCTGATCGGTTGCGACAATTCCCTGTGTGTGTGTGCGCGCGCGCGCGCGCTTTCAGATCAAGCCCAAGCTTTTTTCGGAAGCCCTTTCTGTCAAGTGGCTGATCACAGCCATGGGATCCTACCGCCGCGCCATGGATAAACTGACAACCGACATCCAGAGAAGTGACCTGGATATCACCGAGAAGTGCCGCATTCTAAATGATCGCATCATGTCTGTGAGTGGTCGGGGGAGTCTCTCTCTAAATCTTTATTTAATTATCACCCTTCCTTACATTGACTTCTTATTACACATATCTGCCTACTTACTCAACTGTTTTTTTTTTTTACAATCTGCCAAAATTATAAAGCGTCTCAGAAGTCGGAACAATTTCAGTGATCATAATAACCCCTTCTCTGTGTTTATGTCGCGTGTCTGCGCAGGTGGAGCGCCACTTCCTGTCTCCTTACGTGTCTCCCAGAGACCAGCCTTACCGCCATATCCTACTCGGCAACGGCCCCCACACGCTGACTGCGTTGTCCGAGCACCTGGAACACCTGCGTACCAACGACCCCAAAGCGGACATCGACTTATTCCACGAACAGTTTAGTCTGGCCACTTGGACAATACAGGGCTGCGCCAACGCTTTAGCAGGTAACATCTGGTCTTTTGAAAAGGAAATTTAGAGAAAGGGGGGGTAAAAAAACATCTCTTTTATCCTGGTTACTTCCTTTGATCACAACCAACATTTGTGTTAATTGGCCAGATAAAAAGCGGTAATGAAAACTACTCTGACGGTCATCACTTCTGTTACGTTAAGTTTTCAACCGTTCATTGACAAGTTACATTGACAAATTGCCCGCAATCTAGCACCCTCTACAGCCCAACAATGATGACCAAGGTTAACATTTAGGGTCACGTAGGTCAACCATTTTCTTTAAACACGTGGCACTTCAATACTAAAATATATTACTCAAAATAACGTACTTAGTTGCTGATTATCCTTCGGTTTAAATTATGTCCCTTTTTCCAAGAACAGGAGAGGCGGGAAAAAAAACAACTTTTCAGCAAAGTAGCAGTACGAATCACTAGTTTACTCTTTAGGCGTTAGTGAAGGAAAAAAAAAAAAAAAGGCAGCAGCGGTCTAAAAAGCTAATGAGTCTCCGTTATCTTCATAACAATAGGTTCAAAACTGAGCTGGTTTGTTTTGGTAGCTATATTTCTGCTGTAATTTGACACCTGTTTAAAAAAATATTAATCGTACCATGCAGGTTTGCCTTTCAGAAAAAGAGGGAGTACATCTCCCAACAATGTGGCACTGAAAAAAACAAACAAACAAAAATGTATGTCTATTTATTGTGTTATTTATTTATCAGTGGCAGGGATCACTATAAATATATTTTTTTTTAATAATGTAATTATCGGGAGCAGTGCCTTCCATAATTATGACAGTTATACTGTCGAAATGACAAAAGCAGCATCTGCTAAAGAAGACGTACATGCGCGTTGACCAAGGGGCGGGACTACTGAACAGGGCAGTTGCACTCATCACAAAAAACAAAACACTGACAGTCGATGTATCTTTTTTTTTTTTTTTTTTTAAATCGTAAAAAATCCAGAACAAAACTAGATGGCGTGCCAGTCGGAGCATGTGAATGAAGTAGAGCGTAGTGAATTTCTGCTCTTTCAACCAAAGCCATTAGATGTTACTACGACTAATAGTCATTTGAATTGTCTTGTTTTGAAATTTCTTTTTAAGATTCTCTTCTTGTTTTGTGAATAAGAGAAGGTCGAAGCTCTACTCCGCTCACGTGCTCCAAGCCGCCGGTACTGTTTCGTTTGCCGCATGTCCACTTTGTCCGTTATCCTGAGAGTATTATCGGGAGCAGTGCCTTCCATAATTATGACAGTTATACTGTTGAAATGACAAAAGCAGCATCTGCTAAAAATCCAGAACAACACTAGATGGCGTGCCAGTCGGAGCATGTGAATGAAGTAGAGCGTAGTGAATTTCTGCTCTTTCAACCAAAGCCATTAGATGTTACTACGACTAATAGTCATTTGAATTGTCTTGTTTTCTACTAACCCCCCCACTCCACTCGAACCTACCCTCTCTAATAGTCATTTGAATTGTCTTGTTTTGAAATTTCTTTTTAAGATTCTCTTCTTGTTTTGTGAATAAGAGAAGGTCGAAGCTCTACTCCGCTCACGTGCTCCAAGCCGCCGGTACTGTTTCGTTTGCCGCATGTCCACTTTGTCCGTTATCCTGAGAGTATTATCGGGAGCAGTGCCTTCCATAATTATGACAGTTATACTGTTGAAATGACAAAAGCAGCATCTGCTAAAAGAAGTGCGCGCATGTTTGACTTGACGGCCAGTACCTGCCGCTCGGTACCATTTTTTTTTTCCGTAAACGCAACAAGACAATCCGACGAGTCCTGTCAGTATATCCGCCGTTTGGTCCGCGTACGCGTCTCATCATGACATTATCGGGAGCAGTGTCTTCCATAATGTGGGGGAAATGTTTAGAGGTAATTTTTACCTACCAGTGTGTCTCTATCGGAGGCAGTGTCCTCCATATTTCACTGTAGGGTTGGATGATTTTTTTTTTTTTGATTTTTTTTGTAATTATCGGGAATTTTTTTTCCCATAATGTGTATATATTGCTACACCCGGCGCACGCTGCATCTTCTGATCCCTTCTGTTGTTTTCATGTTGGTGTAACTTCACTGTCGTTCTGCTGAGACCTATCATCGTCATCTCGCGTGATGTCTCTTCAGTTGGTGGCACATCTTTTGTGATTTTTTTTTTTTTTTTTTTTTTCTTTTTGTTTCTACTCTGGTTGCATATAGAATTGCTGAATGAAGCTTTAAAACCGATCACTGATACCATTTCTTTTAGGACCACTCTGGTTAGAAGTGGTGTGGGCTGTTGTTTTTTTTGATTGGGTTCATGGTGCATACACTTTGTATTTTGTTTTGTGGTGTGTTACATCTTGTTCAAAAACTATTTTCTTGTGCTTTTTTTTTTTTTAAGTTCCGTGAATGCATAATTGTCAAATTTCAACTGCTAGTACTAACTGGTGTTCGTGCTGGTTTAGTTCACATTTTTGTTCATTTTCCTTCCGAAGAATTGCGTTACTGATGCTACATGTCTGTTATGCTACAAGTGGTATGGATAAATAAGATTTAAGATCAGGATTTAAAATGATTTCAAAAGTAATTAGTTCAATTGTTACTGGTTGAATTATCTTTAAGTTGTTGAGTTACAATTTTTCGCATTTGACAGGCTACCTTAAATAATCTTTAGCTATTGGTGGTTCAACTGATTACTGATAAGTTAATCATGTTACATTTCTAAAAATTTTTTTTTTTTTTTTTGGATCACAAAAGAAAATCCCAATTATCAATCCATTGCTCTCCTCTGTGTATGTAAGAAGAGCATTCAAAGACTTTTGACATTAGAATGAATAACACAAGGTTAAACAAATCCAATTTTTCTCTTAAACTGTATGAAAGTTTGCTTCATTCTTTCGCCTAAAATAAATGGATAAACCATACAACTGTGCTGGTTCGTGAGTTTTGAAAACTTCGTTCAGCATTGTCACTAAAGCAAAGTTTTATAATTTATAAATGCAATTCGGCCAGATTTTCAAGCCAGGAAATTTAGCTTTTGATAGACAGCGAGTAGGTACCACATTACTTTTTCTGTTGTCTTTTGCCAGCATTCCCATATTTCAAGTGCATTTTCAGTTGATGCCACTAGATGGCGCCAAGAAACAATTCACCTTTGTTTCAGAATGGCCTATCTCTATCTCGGGGGTCGCACAGCCACAGTCCGATCCAAGGCAGTAGGAAATGGAAAAACCGTACTAAAATAAAATTGAACGTGTTTCATGATTTACAGAGTGGAGCCAAAGTTTCAAACGTAATGAATTAAGTTTTATTAATTAAGTTAAATTTCATTTTACGCGCTAACTGTAGTTCTTTCTTTCGCCGCAGTTCTCCAATGACCGCAGATTGTGTCGCTGTAAGATTGTGTCAACCACCAAAGTCCTTATCGAGCAGTTTAAACACCAACATGATGCTGTGGCAGTTTTAAACCACACGATGGAGATGAAGTATACTTTTTGAGCAATCGATGGTTCTTCATTGTGATATTTCATGTGTAATCTAAGTTTGGAATTTAATAAGAGTTTGCCACTACATGTTAAATAACAGCTATATTTTCTTTTGGATGTAGTAATAAACTCGTTCCTTTTTTTTTTTTTTTTTTTTTAAAAAAAAAGAGAGGTAACACAATTTTGTTTGCTTGACCTCACTGTTTGCTTTGTAAATGCAAGAATACAGGAAACAGTCAGATCTGCCTGAATTTATATTACAGACCATGAGAAAGCTCGTACCGAGGCTTCTGACCAGGGCTTGTAAGTGAAGTCACAAGGCCATGTGCTGCCTGTTCCCTTAAGAGTGGGCTGATATTAGCAAAGATGTGAAAATGGCAATAATGTGTCACTTTGCCAACTGATTGATGCTGCAATCGCGAGCAATTGTGTTCATTCTTTCTTTTTCGTTCTCGTGTTAAGAGCACGAAGATATACTTCTGCTCAATAAGGAGAAAAATGAATTAAATGTCAGGATTTAGAAAATGTTTTGGAAGTCTTACAGTAGAGTAGAAAACATGTACGTTTTTTAAAAACTAGAATCGCAACGGTTTCTTTTTATAAATATATATTACAACTCTTTTAGATAGCAAATTTAGATTTTAATCGTCAAACTTGAAAAAATGAACAGTTTTGGCCAAAATATTTGCTCCAAATCCTCTTTAACATTTGTTAGATATGACAAAACACGCTGGGGTGAGTTTCTCTCAGCGCGTTGCGTTTTCCGGCCGTAGTAAGCCATCTTTCGCTTCCCAGACGATCTCTGAATCGCGTAAACGGCAGCTTTGGAGGAGACGCCAGCAGCTCCAGCTTTCAAAACCTCCTACACTGCTGAAGGTCCACACAACGAGAGGCATTGACCGGTGGCTGTGGTGTGCAAACGCTAGTTTTCTTCCGGTCGGCGTTCAGACCTTGACAGTACGTCTTCTTTTTCATTAAATATTGTTTTAGTCTGTGAGCAGAGGCATACCGGAAACAGGAGGTGACAACAAGTGACAGCAGCTGTGATTGACAGGTAAGCGCCCGTTGTGTACGCACGCGTCAGTGTGTGTGTGCGTGCGCGCGCTCGTGAGCCTGTGCGACGGAGAGTTCATGCTAATGTCACGTTTGTGTAACTTTTTGTTTTCTGTCGCTCTTGTTGTTGTTACTGCTGTATGGCGGGAAGAGGTGAGCAGGTGAGAGCCGCGGTCATTGCCTTCATTGTTGTGAAACTGCTAACCAAACAGTTACACAACCAAACAGTCACGGCTGCACGGTTACACAATCAAGTAGTAACCGTTGACGCTAATTGAAAGGTACGCTGTCCACGTTTCCGTGACGAGCTAGTGATATTTCGTGCTGTGTTTAAATGACCCTCTCCTTTCAAATGTCTGGCCATGTAAAATTTAGGAAAAGTTTAATTTGTACGTACATTTTGTGTGTCTATTATGTTTATAATTAATTTAGGCGGACAAAGCTACCGAGCACTTCACACTTCCCCGCCCCCACTGATAGGTAGATTTTCAGGCGGAATTTCACAGTCGACCAAGACTTTCTTTGGTTATTTACATTCGTAGTATTCTTGTGTACATTGTCCTTTTGTGCAGAATAATGTAACAGCAACAACCATTTTAAGTTATAATGACTATTAGTTAGCTCGGGCATGGGCCAACCACGGCCCGGGGGCCAGGGGCCATTTTGGCTTTTTAATGTTATTAACATGACGTCATTAATTTCTGTTACAATTAATGACTATTAGTTAGCTCGGGCATGGGCAAACTACGGCCCGGGGGCCAGGGGCCATTTTGGCTTTATAATGTTATTAACATGACGTCATTAATTTCTGTTACAATTTCTGTTATACCTTATATTCTCCAATAGATGGCGTAGAAAAAGCTAAACGCATTTTAGCTTCATAGCCTTTATGCATGACTTTTACATGTCAGTTTTAGATGCAGTTACATTTGTTTGGGTTCATATGATTGTCAAATTTAAGGTACCCAGTATATTTTGAAATCCAGAGATGTATTTCAGCCTCCAACATGCATTTTGAACAGCTATTGCACAACTCTTATCCAGTTGATCAGGAGTGTAACACTGGTTGAGTGCCCTCCCTGCACTAAAAAACAGAAATACAGCCAGATATGTGACAACTCCCTGGAAGGATGTTTTCATCTGCCAGTGTCAAGGCACATTCTGACTTCAATAAAATTCTTGAGTCACAGTCATTCCCATTACAGTTTACACAGTAAGTCCTTATCAGTGATCAAGCCACAAAGTCAGGGTTGGGTAATTGGCTTCAGGAAGTTGTTAATTCCTGGCTCATTTTGCTTAGTTGGTTATGGAAGTCATGGTGACCTATTGTAGGAGAGAAACATCATTTCTGTAAAAGCTTAAAAGCTGTGTAGGACCCTGCAACAATGTGACTGAGAATGGATCGCTTTTCTCTGATGTATCACATGACCCCCTCTGAGCAGCATCTTTGTCCTATTCAGTAGTTGCCCTGTGTTTGGCTCAGTGTCCATTCTGTGTCGTTCGAGAAAAGAAATTGCAAAAAAAAAAAAAGATTAACTTCTGCTGTTGCCAGTCCTGTGTTTGATTCCCAGATATCCAATTGCTTTGGATAAAAGCATCTGCTAATTGCCAGTTCTGTGTTTGATTCCCAGATATCTAATTGCTTTGGAGAAAAGCATCTGCTAAAAGGCATGAAAATTAAAGTGGCTTCGCCTCCGCAAACATGGGACTTGATCGCTTTAAACTTTGTGTTTATTGATGGAAAAACAAAACAGTCTTGCCATTTTGCTGTTATTCCTCAGATTTGTATATTATCCTCTTTCTGGATGTTCATAAGTAAAATGACCGAGTGCTGTACAATTTCAAATGTTTACTTAATTTAATTTTTTTTCATTTCTTTTATTTTGATGCAGTTCTTGCCACATTCTGCTTGGATCTGCGTTGACCAATGGGTGGAGATGAAATTATGTAAGTGCGTGCTGAGATCACATTGCCATGGATTCCGGGCCTTATCCGCACAGAATTGTTCTTCTGTCATCAACCTGAGAGCATCTCGTACTGCGTCACACCGGACGACGATAAAACCAGGTAAGACTTAAAGTTTCGGTTATTAATATATTTGAACTGTGTATTGTAAGTTTTTTTTTTGTACAAACTGAATATACCGAAAACTCAGAGATGCATGATTTAGTCTGTTTTTTTTTTTTTGCGGTTCAAGACTAATCTTGAGATTCTCGAGTGTGATGCACAATCACTTTGTGTGTGCAGAATTGAGATCATGCCAAATAGAGCTTTGTTTTCTCTAGAACAGGAAGCGTACAGTTTGTCTGAATGAGATCCATTCACCTTTGAAGTGTGGAGAAGCAAATACCAAGAATGAGGTCATTTCAGAAAAGTCATACTTGTGTGTACTGTGAGACAAAAGGCCCTTTTCAGGTTATGGACAGTTTCGAGCTCACATTTGTCTAATGAGCTACATTCACGTCGTGTTTCGTAGTGGGGGAGAGCAGAAGGAAATGAGAGTCACAGTGGTTTCTTTAATAGAAACGCACAGGCTGCTGGTTAGTCAGCCTTCCCATAACTTCGCAGGTGTGTGAAGGCACAGTACTTTTTGCCGATATTGTCCAAGCACTTAATTTCCGATATCAATATCAACCGGCCTGGTAAAATTCATTTATTTATCTGTACAAACCACTCTATTGACTATTCTCCATACAATCCTCTGATTATAAAAAATAGATTAATAAAATGAGCTGCAATGCTGCCATCTAGTGACTTTCACTTTCATATACAGCCGTTTATACCCCAAAATGTTTAGGGCACACATCATTTGGTGAAACCCAGGTATCGGGTTTTCATTATCATTATTAGGCATATTACGTAATTACTCTAATATCCGGCCGTACTTACTACTATCCGTACTATACAGACAACTGAGAAACAAAAATTTTGATTTTCTTCCAACAATTCCTCCTAGTCAGTTCACGTGCGCGTTGCTTTTGTGAAACTTTACGCACCAACGAATGAGCGAACGTTATCAGAGGCAGACCATCAGCATTTAAGTTCAGTAAATGGGTCTATAATTGGAACAGGGCTGAGGGCAGGAGTGGTGGTGTTGTTGTTTAAGATGCTTATCTTATGGGTTCGGTCATGATTCCTCTCACTCAGCAGGAGAAGACCTTGAACTTTGCCCAAAGGGCTTTTTTTTTTAAAGTAGTTAAATGCCACTATTTGATATTTGTATGTGCTGATTGCAACTTTTGGTCGATTCTGATTGGGTTTTTTTTTTTATTCAAGTAATTAACATTAGATTCAGGGTCATGTAAGCGGAAGCTTCCGGAATAGAGCAGTGATCTGCAACAGTGCTTTTTTGTACACGGTGTCTGCAAATATTTGGAGGGTGTGGGGGTGGAGACCTCAGACTGACAGAGGAGAAGTGGAAGGGGAAACGGAGTCTCAGTGTGCGTGCATTTCTCCAGGTGCCCTCTAGGAACAGTATTTTGAGGTTTAGGTTTTTAGTTTGGATTTAGGATCAGAATTAGGGCCATGTTAGAGTTAGGGAAAGGGTTAAAGTTAGGGTAAGGTTTGGGTAAGGGGTGTGAAGTCCTCACAACTCATGACAACCAAGACTGTGTGTGTGTGTATGTGGGTGTGAAGACGGTGTTATTTTAACCCTGAACTTACATCCGGCTGTCCCACCACACTCAACCCCCCTCCCCCCCCCA